ACAGCAACAATTTAGCCAAAAAGTCATTACATGTGATTTCAGGGTGCGTTCTCAGTACCACTTGTGCCCACTTCAGCATTCGCCCCGCTTCCATGACAAACTCCGATCCCAACTGCTGGTGAAGAAACACACATTTGTCAACTAGGCAATCCAAACACACGCAAAGTTTCCATAAGCTATCCACCGCTGCACTGACGAGTAAACCCAACGATCCAGCGTCGACTGAAGCTCAGCCACACAATTAAGTAGGGAGGCTGCTGACGATGACAATCAGCTGCAGCTGGCGAAGGATGGTGAGCAGCAGGTGTGGCCGACTTCAGCACAGGAACACTTCCAGGTCAGATGACACTTGAAACCGGACTTTTGGAAACACACACACATCATCACACAGAAACACTGGTGTTGTTTCGGCGCTATATAAATAAAATTGAATTGAAACACACAAACAGGAAAATAGGAGACTGGGAGAGGAGCCGAAACAAAAACACAACACATGGAAACAACGGCCAGGTCGACCGGTGAGGTGGCAGACGATGACAAAACTTAATACAGTCCTGATCAAAAGTTTTAGACCGCTTGAAAAATTGTAAAAAATCCAATTTTGCATGGTTGAATCTTCACAAGTTTCCAAGTCGAGTTTCAACATGTAAAAAAGAAGAAACGGGACCAAACATGCAGTTTATTGAAAACAGTGCTTCAGCTGAAACAGGCTGTAGTACCTGTAGGTAATATTAGCAGCTGGTAATGGAGCCATGGTGACCAAATAGTTTCCTTTGGGGTTAATAAAGATTTCTGATTGTGATTTCCATTGTTTATGTGTCTCACTGTCAGAGTCTAGCAGGTCAGCTCCCCACAGAGGTTAGCTCTGTGTGCATGCACACTTCCTTACACCAATGTCTGTCCTGGTGTCGCTCCATCACTTATTGATGAGGCTGCACTAATGGAGGATTGATGTGATATGAGCATGTAAGAATCACTCTGCTGCTTAACAACCCAAGAACACACCTCTGACACACTCGTGTGTGTTTACATCACTTGTGAGGACATTATCCCGACTTGCATTCTTAATTTCAGGATATTAAATTACAAATTTAATGTTGACAAATTAACCACAACCACAAATTCATGTTCATTATATCCTGGCATTAAATAAATGAGCTGTGCTAACAGGTCTATGTCTGTGTAACTTGAGAAATACACTTGAACACAGGAATTTAATGGAAAGAAATAATTAGTTCCACAAGGACTGTGATGTGCCACACATTTTAGACGCCCACCATGTTCGACTGTGTTGTTTAACTTCATCCTAAGTTGTTGATGTTGGCAAAGATGAATAAAGGAAGACTGACCGGACTCTTTTCACCGTGTCACGTTTGCTTACTGCGCCGTTATTGTAGTTAAATGATTGTTTTTGGATAACGAACAAGTTGGGACAAAGCCCAAACAACAGTTTTGACGTGAGGTTGTTAAGACATGGTCCTAAGTGTTAGTCTGCTGCATAATCACTGAATTTTATTGGCTGGCTCATCAGAGGGCGCTTTGAAGTTGGCTTGGTAAAGAAATCCAACAGTATATCGTTTTTGAAAAATGGTACATATGATCTAAAAACTGTGGGCACTCACACACCTCAGTAAGCTTGTCGAAAGGTTCGACGTGTTTTTGCCGTATTTTGGGACAAGCAGAGAATCTGACATGAAGAGTAAACTACAATTCTGCTTTTATAAATCCAGTTTACAAACTTATATTTACAAGTCATACAAATTATTATATTTACAAATTTAATAATAATTTCATATCAGCATGCATTAAGTCTCTCATCCTTTCTTACAGGAAGTGTGCAATGGAGTGGGAGGAGCCTCATGATAGCGCGCTGTACTGCATCCAGACAGATGGAAACCA